TATTTCCAAGAAAAAAACATTGCTATATCTATATAACAATACGGTATATATATATATATATATATATATAATAATAATTATTATTATTATGTTGAAAACAGCTGAGTATAATTATTTTTTTTTAGATTTATTTGATGAATAGGAAGTTCAGAAGAACAGCATTTATCTGAAATAGAAATATTTTGTAACATTATAAATGTATTTTCATAACTTTTGATCAATTTAAAGCATCCTAGCTAAATAAACGTATTAATTTCTATAATTTCTCCCCCCCTCAAAAAAATTAAAAAAATAAAATAAAAATAAAATTATACTAACTCCAAGCTTTTGAATGGTATAGTGTATAATGCTACAAAAGCTTTTTATTTCAGATAAATGCTGATCTTTGGATCTTTATATTCATTAAAGAATCCTGAAAAAATTTACTCAACCTTTTTAAATATGAATAATAATAATAATAATACATGTTTTTTGAGCAGCAAATCAGAATATTAGAATAATTTCCGAAGGATCGTGTGACACTGAAGACTGGAGTAATGATGCTAAAAAAATCAGCTTTGAAATCACAGGAATAAATTACATTTTAAAATATATTAAAATAGAAAGCAGTTATTTTAAATAGTAAAAATATTTCACAATATTACTGCTTTTGGTGTATTTTGGATCAAATAAATACAGGCTTGGTGAGCAGAAGATAATTCTTTAAATAAAACATTAAATATCTTACTGTTCAAAAACTTTTGACTGGTAGTGTGTATATATACATGAGATAAATATTATAAATAATATACTAATTATTTGCACAGTTTTAGACATAAACATGTATTCATTTCATTGGTCATTCACCAGATCAAAGAACACAATTTTAGACATTTGCATGACCTTAAATGTTGTCAGGTTATGTATAATCAGTGCACTAACTGACTTACTCTGTTCTATTGTACCTCATACGTCAAACATTTGTCACCCTACCAGTCCCATACTTAAAAGCCATGCAGCTGTGGTTTCCTCATTACTACAAAGCATGGCTGAGGATATTGTCACTATACAGCTCTGTTGTATAACCAAACTTGCAGAAGCAAGACTTACATGCACACATATACCAAAGACTTTTCAGAATTTTAAATCCTGTCCGAATGTAACACATTTCTGCATTTCTTGTACAACCTTACTAAAAAATTATAGAGCAAATTTCATCTTTTTTTTTTTTTTCAGGGGTTCTCTGAGAAATGTAATCAGGATAGGAATGTCATATATTTTGACCTAAGATTTTTACTAATTAATGATAATTTAATACGTGTGCCGCTGGTGTACGTTTTACTGTGGATTTAGATAATTGTCCTTTTTTAGATAATTAAACTTTTTTACTGAAATTTATCTAGCTATTGTCATCTTTTTAAAATGTCATCAAAACACATCACAGAAGATTTGTATAATAACAACTGCACAATGTGGTTTGACATTTTTACACCTAGTACTAGGATATTCTTAAAAGTCAAAATCGAAGTTCGCCAAGTTTGTCAAGGTGTTACTGGTATATGTGGGTACACAGTTTGATCAGTCACTATATAACCTCTAGATTAAATAGGTGATACAAAATGAACACCAACGCTGAGCTAGATGAAAGTAGTGTAATCATAGCTGCCTGTATTATATTCAGCATGGAAACCGGAGTAAAACTTTATAATAAGGTTCAATTTGGTCTTATTAGTTCTCATCAGATATCATAAACTAACAATGAAGAACAGTTTTTTATTAACCAGCATTTATTCATCTAAATTATTCATGTTAGCTTATAAATATACTATTGTTTATAAATTCATGTTTGTTCAAAATGCAGCTAATGCTCATTTATGCAACTTGAAATGTGAAAATGTATTAGTTTATGTGGAAGTGAACCTAAATTTAGATTAATAAATACTGTAAAAGTATTGCTCATTGTTAGGTCATGATACCTAATGCATTAGTTAATGCTAACAAATCAAACCTTATTATTAGCAGAATCCGAATATTTTCATTTCACAATGATATTTTAAAATTAGAATAAGTGTGCCTGTACACTATAGTGCACTCCATGGAGAGATGATACACTTGTTTCCTTATAGCACTTAGTGGAACTCTGTGAAGTGTTGGTTCAGATAGAGCTTCTAAAACTGCATAAACAAGGACACAAACACGTTTAGAGACTAGGATCCGATTGGGGACTTTCTTGCTTCCTTTTAAGGGACGGAGAAACCGCAGGTGGGTGGGGAAAACCCTGAGCATTCCTTCAGCTGCAATCTCATCTCACTGCACTCGAAGTTAAGCAAAAGTCAAAACATGCATTTCATTCCTAAAGTCAGGTATCAAATATGCACAGTCATAACCCTTCACGTGTCAATGACCTGAACACAACTTCAAAACCTGTATCAACTGTCACACCATTTGCAACTTTCCCTTATGACACAGGCAAATATTGTAAAAATATTTGAATGTGGTCAGTTTCAGAAAATAGGGATGGGCAAAATGTTCATCTCCTACTTCATTCATGCTTGTCAAACATACAGTAATAATGAAAAGGTACTAAAGCAATAGTTCGCCAAGAGCAATGCTTGCTTTTGCAGATTGTCACCTTTGATGATGCAGTTACAAACCTGACTCAGCACAGATCAGCGTGCCCACCCACTGTGTCTCTTATCTTAAAGGTTCTCACAGAGCCAAAATGTCTGGTTTGGTTACGGTTAATAGTTTGCACTGGAAAATGTAGGTGTGGGCGACAGTTACGGTTACTTCACATTTTAAGGGAAGCCAACAATGGCTTCTGTTTACACACTTTGGATGAAGATTATATCTATCGAGTGTATTACATTGAGATGAGACTAGTACTTTCCATTGAAATAGATGAGTCAGATTTAGTTTTTGCCTTTGGTTGGCCCTGAAATTGCTCATTAAGGTTTATACGACCAATATGTTAACCGTCTGAATAACTGCTTTAGCAACCACATCAACCCGACTGACCTAAAAAGATGCACCAGACTGGAGTGTCTGTCCTTACCTCCAGTTCAAAGGGAGCCAAAGTAAGCCTTCCTGTTTCATTAGTATTGGATGCATTCCACTTGACAATTTCAAGCAGGAAAGCAAGACTAAAAATAGTAACTTCTATCATCTGGTTTGATTTCAGAGTTGTGTGCGAGCGAGGATTTGGGAGGTGCCGTTCGGCACTCGTCCTGATGGAGTTGAGGAATAGAGACGTAATCCTGCCACACAGTTACAGGGGAAGGGGATGGTAGAAGCTGCCCCTTCACACTGACCTAAAAGCAAAAAAAGGTTTTTCGTATAGTTAAGATTAAGAATTGGTTAGGGGGAGCTGGTTGTAGATTAGCATAAAAGGGACACTTCTGACAGCGACAGAGTCATGGTCGCAAGGCCGCAGGCTCCCCACATCAAAGAGTGATGTGACAGGCAGCTGTAGACTGACAGGCGGTGGGGGCTTAGAAGAGGGGGCTGGGTTCATTTAGTGAGACTAGAACTGAACTTCAAAGCCCTTGTTCCATGGCTCTTAGCACATACAAGGGTAAAATCTTCAATGGTCCTCTACTTGTATATATAACATTTTAGAAGAGTGTTCATTAACCTCAATAATGTTTCACTCTGCAAGGAATGTGCAGAGATTTCTGTGTCCTCTTGTGTTTCAGATGATGTATTTTTTCATTTGCAGATCCAGGATTTCATTTTTTACTTTGTCGCTGGCATCCTCAGCTATAGCTGCAGTTTTTATGCATTTTGCATTTAAAAAAGACAACTTTTTTATTGTTAGTTATATTTAGCATATACGTTACCACTAAAAAGTTTGGGGCCAGCACAATTTGTGTTTTGAAAGAAAGTATCTTAAGAACAGTTTTGTTTGTCAGGAAAGCAATTCGAATCTTTCTGCATACCAAAATCACACATGGTCAGCTGTTTAGCATCAAATCTTTATCCAAGCAGGAAGATTTGTTTTTCAATTCCAAACATGATTATTTAACAATTAATTGTTAAACAGTCTATATATAGTGTGTGTGTATATATATATATATATATATAGTAGAGGACCTTCTTAAGATGGGTGAGATCAGGCCGCAGGGCTACAAGTTCAGCAAGACTGAGAACGGAGCTGGTAAACAAAACCCTGCAAGACAGAGAAAGGAAAAAACAAACACATAAAAGAAGGAACCATTAGTTTGCTGACTGCAACGGCATTACTTGAATATCAATGCTCCCTAACAGGCCCAAGCACTGATACTCATTGTAATAAAAATTGTTCTGACCACTAGAACCTGCTGCAGCGTGTGCAAAAAAAAAAGAAATATATATTTCTTTTTTTTTTGCACACGCTGCAGCAGGTTCTAGTGGTCAGAACAATTTTTATTACAATGAGTATCAGTGCTTGGGCCTGTTAGGGAGCATTGATATTCAAGTAATGCCGTTGCAGTCAGCAAACTAATGGTTCCTTCTTTTATGTGTTTGTTTTTTCCTTTCTCTGTCTTGCAGGGTTTTGTTTACCAGCTCCGTTCTCAGTCTTGCTGAACTTGTAGCCCTGCGGCCTGATCTCACCCATCTTAAGAAGGTCCTCTACTTCCATGAGAACCAGTTGGTTTATCCAGTTCGCAAGAGCCAAGAAAGAGACTTCCAATATGGCTACAACCAGATCCTCTCATGGTAACAGCAGATTCTGACAAACTTTACAAAAGTACCCTGGGAAGAAGAACATATGTTAGGGTTACCAGATGTATCTAATGTGCTGGATTTCAGTTGTATCTTTTTTTTTCGACGATAAGTAGAACAAAGTGCCGTGAATTACTCTAAGTAGTTTTACTGTTCATAAGTGTGCATAGTTGACTAAATTGTAAGTGAAAGTGAAGTGACGTGTGGCCAAGTATGGTGACCCATACTCTGAATTTGTGCTCTGCATTTAACCCATCCAAGTGCACACACACACCGTGAACACACACCCAGAGCAGTGGGCAGCCATATTGGGCAGCAGTTGGGGGTTCAGTGCCTTGCTCAAGGGTCTCACCTCAGTCGTGGTATTGAGGGTGGAAAGAGAGCGCTGGTTATTCACTCACCCCACGACAATTCCTGCCAGATCTGAGACTCGAACCCGCAACCTTCGGGTTACAAGTCCGACTCTCTAACCATTATGCCACGACTACTATGGCAGTAGTATATCAGTGTATGATATGTCATACTTCATATAATTTCTACATTAACCATGATCAAAATACACAAACAAAATTTTTATTTTAACATAAAAAATTTAAATTGAACTAGAAATTTCCCAGGTTTTGATTTTCAGAAATCATCTTAACGTATGTTAAAATGTCAGTACAGTCTGTGTATAACAAGTACCATTTCTGTACCAGACTGGATTTTAATTCACAAGAGAGACAGTAGTCTGAGACAGAATAGTTTATCATGCGCGTTACTTGGCATGATGTGATTGGTTAATTATGGGCTCGTATAATGGCACTCTAATTCTTAAGAACTGGCTGTTTTAAAGCCTAATGTCATAATAAATCTTTATGCTTGAAAGAAAGGGTTTTAAGAGCTCTAATTGGAATACATTGTGATTGTTGTCTGTCAGAGTATCATGTCAATAATTCAAAGGCCCTTTGCTTGCTCAACTTTATTAACGTGGCAGAACAGTGACACAAAAAAGCGCTCGGCTCCTCTAATTCACTCTCTAATTGAGCGCAATGCAGTGATTGATTCTGGCAATTGGGGTTAATCAGTGTGCCATTTAAAAACATGGTGTGTTTGTGTCTGTGGATTCTAATCAACATGTATTAGATATTAAAAGTAACTAGTTACTGTAGACGTCTGCTAAGCAGTTCTTTTTTATATGCGATTGAAGTTTGCTTTTCAAAACATATGCTGTTTTTAATAACGCTCATTTTCGAGAATTAATTAAGAAGCATTATTGTGACACTTTGACATTTTGTGGCTTTGTTTGTCAGTATTTTTCTTCCTTCGTCATCTTAAATGACAATGTTTTCCCAGCCTGGTTGCGGATGTGGTGGCGTTCAACTCTTCATTCAACATGGAGTCCTTCCTCTCCTCCATCTCCACCTTCATGAAGACCATGCCTGACCATCGGCCCAAAGATCTGGACCAGCTCATCCGGCCCAAGTGCTGCGTCCTCCACTTCCCAATTCACTTTCCCGATGTCACAAGGTCTGTCCTTATATCCCTCACCACAGTCTTCTAGGGATCACTCCTCCACTGATTAAAAAATGTGCTAGCGAGTTCAGTCTTAATCCGCCCCCAAAAGCTGATCGTGTATGCAAGCGTGGTTAATGGCGAGTGGGCAAAGTTGTGTAAGAAAGTGATTAGAATAGACAGCTTTAATATCCTGTGTGGATCACTTGACACGCTCCTGCTACAGATACGTGCTCGTGCTCGGGCGCAGATGCACGAACATACACAACATGCCCACTGGGACAGGAAGCGATTTATTTGTGTTATAGTCTGTTTGACTGTGGATGATGTAGATATTTGTGTTTGATTTTTGTGTGGCTGAGAAACCAATGATGCAGTATGAAAATTAGTGAGGATTTTTACTCAAGGCATGGCATCTGCCTTGAATGTCAGCAAATCAAACAGAAATTAAAATAGAGTTTTATTAACCAGGTTATTAAAATCCACCATGTTTCCAAAAATCATTTTCAGAAACCTTTCTGCTCATTTGGACGCAATAAAGTGTAGCTACAGTATACTAACTTTTCACGCTGTGACCATTAATTATGCATTGCATTTTAGTTAGTTATCATGACATAAATAATTTTTTTTGCTATTTAAAATAAAATCTCTCCTTGATAAATTGCTTGATTAGAAGACAAAACCAACTAAAAGTAAATATTTAAAATGCAGTACACTCAGACATGCTCGATGTCCTTGTGGTCTCCCTGAATTGATTTTTGCTTTTATTTGGGGTCTCTGAGCGCACTGCTACTCTTCCCCCCTACAGCTTTAAAATCTCACTGTGCTGTGTACTTCGTTTTGACTTGCGCAGTCTAGATTGGCTTCAGAATTTGCCTCTCGAAGCCTGTCGTCTTGGATCAGCAAGCATGGGTGGTGCTTTTTTCATAGCCCTGTTCCAAAGCAATGTCAAGAATAAGTCAGCTAGAAGCAACTCCACGGAGGGGCCTGCTTCCTATTAGATTCCTAATGAACAGCAAGCAGAACCCGAAACGAGTGGAACAATATTGTTAATTCATTTTGATTCAAGGCATTCTTGGGCTGGCTTATGTGTGCTGGTTTAAAGATTAGAGAGACCGTAAGCATGTAGTGCATACCATTTCACATCCTCCCTTAGCTGTAAAGCAGTCTTTGTCATTTTAATGTGCACGTCGCTATTGAATTAGAGAAATGTGAATAGTTGTGGATTGGTTGATCATATGAATACATTTTGAATTATCATAGCTTTCATGATACAAAAAAAAAAAAAATATATATATATACATATATATTAATA